CCCCCCCTCCGCGAAATGGGCGGCCAGCGGTTTGGGTGCGGAAGCCCCATTCCTGGTGCTGCGTGGTCCACTGACGACGTCATCCCAATAGCTCAAAATTCATTAATTTCCAGAAATCTCCAAATGTTCCTCAGAAATTTTCCAAAATTGCTCCAAAACTGTCCGTTCCTCGACAGCTATATGGGTAGGTGGTAGGGTATGTGAGAAAAGAAAAAAAAGCCAGAAGGAGAAATCAAAAGCCAAAGAACAATAGACAGAACAACCAAAAATTTTGGGAGTCCGCTCTAATTAAGACTAAATGCACCGACGTGTAGAAGCGCCGATCGAACCAGTAACGGTGAAAGAGAGGATCGGGAATTTGTCACGAATATTTTCCAAAAATGACATTACGATAGATATATGTATATCATTTCTATTCTGCAACACATCTCGTTGTCTACGAAATCTGTCTATCTTCTTATCAATTATATTATTCATGTAAACAATAAACAAAATACTCCCTGTCAAAATCCGTCTACGAAACCTATTCGAAAGATTCCAAATTCATATAATGTGTTGTATGACGTAATCATTGTAGGTCCGAATATTTGTACGAAATCAAATAACAATTTTTTAAGATAAATATTCCTCCCGTATTTTGATTTTGCAGGTGGGATGACTCATTTCGCAACAACCGTTCTATACCACATCCATTCTCTTCTCGCGACGAACATGCTACCAGGAATTACGGTGCGCCTCTAAGTTCAGAGTTCAAACACGATCTCTATGCCTGGCAGGAATTTACACATTGAGGTAATAATTTATGTAGGAATGGGAGTCCACTGAAACGAAATCCTTTCTCGTCGAACGCAAAGTGAATGGTTTATTATTAGATGTCTATTAGCATATGTATGTGACTTACGATTAGTCCTGATCAGTACTACTGAATTCAATTAAACAAACACTTACTAAATCCGATCAATTGCATTCACTTACCTCTCAGCAAACGTCGAGTCCCAAAATATTGTCCAAAAAAAAGTGAAATATCTTTTTTGAGAATGAGATTAGATAAATAATATTTTAAAAAAACTTAACTAAAAATAACGAATAAGGACAGTTCATGGGTGACAACTGTAACGCTTACAGCTGGATGCTATTGATCAAACGAAATGACAAAGATACTCAAGCCAATCTACTTCTCCGGCGTTCGTCATACATTTGAACGTGATGAAGTGTCAATTAGCAAACTCTCGTACCTTTGCGATAATAGATTGGCCGCATTCCTTTAAAGAAGTTTCAAAATATTTGAATCAGGTAGAATAACGAAAAGTTCTTCAATTAAAAAAATGGTGTATTCGTCATAAATAAAGGTTTGCAGAAAAGCAAGAGTTTAGACTGGAATATGTGCTCCTTGAGGCTGGAATCCATTTTCATCAGCGACGTAGTCAACCTGAAATTTCTGGCCGGTAACTGGGTCGATCCAGGAGAAGCTGCCGGTGACCTGGATGGCTTCGTTCTCGGTGCCGACGTTCTTCACCTGTGCTGATTCCTGCTTCGACTCTCCGTTAGAAAGTTCGTAGCCATATTTGTAGCCATCGATGCCGATGTTATCCAAAGGATCTTCGTTTACTACGACAACATCCGATTGACCTTGAGGGGCTGCGAAGGCTACGACCACGAGGGCGACGAAAGCAATGATCTACGAGAAATGCATAATCCAATAAAGTTAACTGACACACACGTTAATTCCAGATCGCTTCAAGACTCTTTCACTGGATATTTTTATATTTTGTTCGACGTACCGTCTTCATTTTGAAGGTGCGATTACTGAACGTCAGCCTGAGTTCTCTCGAATTATAGACTGCTTTTACCGATAAGCGTGCGAGATTATATAGTCCCCAAGATTTGGCAGGAGCCCCCCCCCTCTCTCTCTCTCTCCTTTTCTCTGCGCCCAAAATTCTAACGAGATACCTATATCGTTTTCAAGCTTTCTTTTGATGAAGTCGTAGGACCTCTTAAGCGTTACTTTTCACTTTATACATTTAAAGTTGGATTTCTTTTTACAATTTATCAGAAAATCATTGTCCTATTTTGTGTGTTTATAATGGTTTTTGAATTTTGAAATTTTTTTGTCTAAATGTATTTTGTAATAAGAAAGGACTTCTCGAAAGAATATTTATTGATTTTAAGCTTTTAGGAATTGCCAAAAGTTTCTCTTTGTGTTTGTCTGTCATTGTGAGACATTACGTCTGCGATATTCACATTTGTACACTCATTACGATAAATCCTTAGCCATGAGGATGCGCTAGTATCGAGAAGGAAGTACCGATTATGTAAGTCAAGTGTTATGTTAATAACGGACAAGAGTCCACGACAATATTATTTAAAAGAGATACCAGCAATATAAGCGATATAAGCAATAAATGTAAAAAATCACTTTTATCGACTCTCTATTTGCGATCGCAAAATTATTATGCGCTATTACAACATATAGACAATCAAAATCATTATTCATCATGACGTATTCGTCATTCACTTTTAAGACCATCTTACGTGTAACTACTCTGATATACTCCACGTAGACATCTGCCGTTCTGACGATGCAATTCCTATCAGGAAATCATCATTTGACTTTACATACATTTTCTAGTAAACAATAAGTAAATATCAAGGAGTTACGTATGAATAACTATCCAATCTAAAATTAATCGTTATACCAAAAAAGTAGTAAATCATACTGCATTATATTATAATAAGGGCTGCAGCTCTTACAGCAGTATAATTTTAAAATCACGAAAAAGAAAAAAAGGTTGTCTAAATTCAACTAAATGATAGAAACATCATTCGTCCAAGCTATGAAGTACTTATAAAGTTATGAGACAGAGGTACGAGAATGTTGAAGAGGAACTCGTATGATAGGAATTTCACAAGAGTGTGTCGGTGGAACGTACGAGGCCGTCCTCGGCGAAGAGGGCTCCTTGCGTAACCACCGTCGCGGCGCACGATGACACGATTCGCTAAATGCCACCTACCGTCGCCACCACCAATGCTACACGTAAATGGTTAGTCGCATCCTCGAAGCAGGGATGACACGTAAGATGCAAACGCAGGTCGGCAGATGTTGCTTACAAGATTCTATGATTATTGGTGGTTGGTACCAACCCTGCCCTTTCGATACCACAATGGATCCGCTACCAGTTTCTACCATAGTAACAGCGATTGATACATTGCGAAATTGATACCACATTGTCTGGAGAAATGTCGTGGCATGAAATTATTTCTATATAAAATTCCCTATATAGGGATATTTAGGATTATTACAGTAACTAGAGGTTATATTTACCATCCGATTTTTATACAAAAGCCAACTGCAGTTGCACTAGTCCTGTATGACCAGATGAATATCTACATATATATGCAGATCTAAAGAATCCGTCAACCAGCTGCGAAAGAGAAAACTTAAAAACTACTACAATATTTGTCTATGGAAATTATCATAAGTCCGCTTATGCATTTCTATAATGCATGCTCTGACTCGATACTTGCAAAAAAGGAAAAAAGTTTTTTTTTAAGAAAGATTCATCACTGAATAGCCTTGCATATATTATATAACAAAATTCATGCACATGTCCCAAGTCGGTCAATTTTATTACAATAAGTGAGTATATGCTAAGTGACCGAGTTCACAGAACATGTTCAAAAGAGATTATCGCGAATGCGAAGACGAAAGCGCATAGGCGGAGACACGAAGAATTATGAGATTTTACGAAATTAGAAAATACCATATATGCCCTCTTGAAGAATATCGGAAGTTTGAGTGTAGCGGATGAGTGAAAGTTTAGGCGGTACAACTACCGTCAGTGGCTGTATTTTCTTAAAATAAATATGCAAATGTAAAGGCAAATTCAACGGCACAATCGATAAAAAAAAAACTTTGTGTCATTTTCATCTTATATACAAAAATAATATCTCCTCCCATTATTTCTCATTTCTTATTTTAATTCGTTCTTCTCGATCGACCTACGCTATTAGGACATCCTGTCCCTGCTTCCGCACAAAGAGATACAATGACGTCTATATCCTCTAAAAAGAAGGTTCGTCATTCTGAAAAAAATTAGTGACATACCAATAAAAAAGTCATACTGCATTTAGCAGAAAAAAAAGAATTGAATACAGGTGACCATCAAAAGGAAAGGCATCATTTTTGAAGGTCTACCGTCATTCCCCATCATATTATATTATACATATATTGTATCTTAAATCACTGCCAGAAACAACGAAGGCCAATACATATATTAAAGCTTGAAATAAAAAAAAATCTGTCCCAATTTTAGAATCCGCTAGTATCTCAAATTCCGGCATATATTTAATTACATCATGTAATGTCTATTCCATAGATTTTACTGATTGTGTTCTCTTAGTAAGTATGCAAGTTACCATGACACTTTACTATATTAACGCTGAAATACGCAACCTGCCAGAAGAGCGCACTGACATTTGTCCGCTGAATGGCATTCTCTCCGCAGACACACGCGGTCAGTGTTTGCAGCAGCATTGGCAACAAAAGTAATAATGATTTTGCGTTAATTCATGAAACAGAATTACCTAATTCAAATTAAATCTCATGGAAAACCTGTTGCTGGGCTTAGTGGATTCGTGACATTAATTTATGCGCAGGAAATGGAAATGAAAAAAGAAGAGCGTCGAGATAACCAGAAAGAGACAGAGAAAAAATTATCAATATATGTAGAAAGAAACTTACCAGTTTACCCTAAGAGAAGAAATATGAGACGTGGTGGAGATGGACTTTGAGATAGTCGTGTAACAAGATGCCCAACTAGGCGAATACGCAGGAGTCGTGCAGCGAATACGGTAGCCGGAGGCGTCCCAGCACATCTTCAAATGGCAAGGTCATCTTCCGTTACATCATCAACTTTCTTCAATCCTATCAAAACGAGAAAACTAAATGTCACACACGTCGACCAAGGACAGGATATCTCTTGGCATTAAAAAAAAATAATCGAACAGGGTGATATTGCACCTGAAATTCTCAGCCGAAACGTTTACTTTCACATTTTTATTCACGTCTGCAAGGCGAACTAGGATTTTTTTTTTTTTGAGAAACGCCTGATATCTTGCAATGCAAAGACTTGAAAAGAAATGTCAAAGTGAATTTTGTTTACAGCATAGGCAACCTCTGTTCTTATCTGTAACGAAGAATTTGATTTCAGAAGCCTGTGAGGGGTATGCCAGGACACCCTTATTCTGTATTCCAAAGCTGCTACCCTTTTGCTTTCATTCGAAAGTGACGATTTATTCTTACTGTGAACTTAATTAACGTGAACCAGATGTTTAACGGTCACTTTCTATTTCATAAGCGTTAAACAAATAGGTACGAAAAGTTAGATTCTATTTTAAACGAGATACGTAAACGCTATGTAACACCGTTTGTCACCGCCTGACTGATACGAATTGTCCAGAATGATTCCCTTCCGTATAGAAGGAAATTACATCCCTAGGAGAAAATAAATTGGTAAAACTATCATGGAATATCATCCCATCCCAAGCAGAGGTCGAAGAGTATGAGCCATCTTAAAATTTTGAGAAAAGAGAATTTTAAATTGCAAATGGCACCATTACCACACCCATAAAAACATCTATTGGGATATTGAAAGACTTTCTACTGTGGCGACTGGTATGGCTAATAATTTTTGAGTAGACCAGCAGAAATATTTCATATGAAGGTAAAAGTGCTTTCCAGAAAGGTGTGACCACCAGAATAAACGTGAGGAAAAAATCAATCGCATAACCTTACAGAAAACACAGAAAAATAAACTTGATAAACAGGAATGAGCCCCGGGGTCATCGTCAACCACTGCTGCATCTTGGATGCTGCGATGCATTTACTACCTATCCTAAGACTTCTAAGTCGGAAGCTTAACTTCTGAATAATCATCGCGGTGGGGACGCACCAGTATATAAAGGCCGATCACTGGATAAATCTGCAGCACAAGGGATTGCATCGTTAAAGGACCATTCTAAGGATCCGTCTCAATTGTCAAACATTTGACCACATCTTACATCATGAAAATTACGGTGGGTCTACCAACATAGGTGGACATACATGACCGAGACACGATGGAGCTAGCCTCCAAAACTTATTACGCAACGTAGTGAAAGTGAAGACGATCTGTGATATTTCTATACGTCGGCATATATATGTGTGTATATACATATATATGCAAGCACCCACCGCACGCATATACGAGGCGTAGAAGATAAATATTATACATACATATTGCATATAGAACTTCCATACGAAAATCTCTTCGAGGGGCCATCTTCTTATGGCTGTAGACATAAAAGAGACACGTCATATTTTTATTGCAAACTGACTATAGAAATACAAATACGTAACATTGTGTCCTAGAATCCTTGAAGATGTGAAAATCTTTGACAAGTGTATATTCGTGCGTGCGTGAGCACCTTATTAAAATATCATTAAAGACATTTTTACAGAAACCGCGCGTGTCTTTCAAATTTACGTGTCATTAATAATGAATCTTTGTGAAAAAATAGCAGGATTATCGATAAAAATGAATACATTGCCTTGAATCGAATTTCCTTTGTTTGTCTTGCAGATTTTAACGTTCGCCACGCTACTGGCTATTTCCTTGGCTGCACCTCAGGGCAATCCCAACGATATCACCATTACAAAGCAAGAAGAGCAGAATAATATTGGCATCAGCGGATATCATTTCAGCTACGAGCAGAGTGATGGTCAGCAAAGAGAAGAAACGGCTGAATTGAAGAATGAGGGAACCGAAAATGAAAGCATCGTTGTAACGGGCAGTTTCAGTTTCGTAGGTCCCGATGGCAAGACTTATCGGGTAACTTACACTGCGGATGAAAACGGTTTCCAACCTGTTGCTGAACATATCCAAGGTGGAAAGATTTGAATACAGAACTAATAACATATAGCTTTCTGTAGCGGATGCGCACTGGTGCATGCGCACCCTCTTAAATGAAAGTGCGCATGCGCGAGCTCTATGCATCCTTATATCAACTCGTCGGTTATCTCTGCGAGTAATGTATGTACTCCTTTTGCAGTCATCACACGCTCCAACCTTCTTTGTGGATTTTAACTTTACGACAAAAGGAAGTTACAATCCTTCAAACTCCATGGATTACCCTAAATATCTCTTGTAATATCCTAACTTTTATTCCTCATCCTTTTCATTCAACCTTTCCTTTTCCTTAGTTTCCTTTTTCTGTACTGCTTTTATCGAGACAGAAGGTCGCCTGACTTCAATTTCCACCATCTTGCTTGCTCTGTACAGATTTTGTCAGTCTTTTATGATCAACTATTTCCTTGTCAAGTAGAATCTTAGTTAATACAGTTAAAAAAATGTACGCGTGCATATTTGATCGAGGCCAAATACCATAAATAGCCTATGGCCTATGTACTCAAACTTAAAATATAGAGGAAATTATGAAGATGTAATATTTACAAGCCACATTAGTTCTGCCTCTTATGATTTTTGCTAATTATAATTTTATATCTCTATGAAAACACCGGTAGCGTTATTGGGGCGCCGCTGGATCTATATTTATGAACGATGGTATATATTATGTATTAAATATATGGTGCGAATAAACATGTATACACTGAATCGTCTTAATCATCCATTAATCAATTTCCAATCTCTTTATCATACAAATCTAATAAGCACGCGGCTTGTACGTGTTATCTTTCGTGTAATATTACCTTTGGTTTTCTGAACTATCGTTCATCTGCAATCTACGTGCATTGAACGTCTTTGCGATATCTACAACTAATCAATTAACATTCTCATGACATTTCCTCTTCTAAATCCTTCGACGAGATATGTTTCAATTTCTAAGAATACTCCTGCATACTGATGATTCATTTTGCATATTAGTAAATCATACACAACCAATAGCAAGACTGAAGTTTGGAAACCAGAAAGAATTGAAACGGAAAACAGATATGAGGTAATCGCGAAATCAGTTTCGTTTCCCACACAAAACAAAACATCCGAGCGACATTTGAATTATGTGTGCAATGTCCTACTGACGTCCGGTTGAAAAATGCTATACGTAAACATCCGGTAGACATCTTATGCAAATGCTCTTAAACACGAGGCAGTGTGACACCTTTAGAATGTCGGCATTTATGTTGTCCATTATGTTTACCATTCATTATTATTATATGTTTGATAGTTATTAACTACAATACCTTTTGGGAACTTTACACGCGTGTAATCGTCAATAGGTTCTTTGCTTTATCTTATTTTATACAATTTTCAAAAGTGCATACATTCATTGAATTTGTGTTAACCTGTCAGCGAACGCATGATTTCTAGCACGTCTAACTTTCATTGTTGTGTCATTTCACAAGTTACGTTGCCTTCGAGAAATGCAACAGTCAATGCGTATGTCTGTACATGGTCATCTACCATATAAGAATATCCTATTCATGTAAACCAAATTGTCAAATAGATATTATACATCCTGTAAATGACAGGTAGGATTTGTAAAAGACAGACAGAAAGACATCCGTAAGTGAGCCTAAAATAGTTCTGAATGACGTCTGGAAGATGACGTTTGCGGATTACGGATGTCTAGCGAAGACCGTGGTCTATCGTATATCAGTAGTAGCGATTGACGACGTCTGCTATGACGTATTTCTAACATCCCAGTATTGTGTGGGTTTGAGTGACCTTTCTTCTAATATCTTTTAATAATGTTAAAGCATCCTTGGTTGTACACATACGAGTTATATGTTTTTTGCGTAATAAATGAAATAGGCTAATTTGTTATGTAGATTTTATTGAAAGTTTTACAGTTATGTGGCTTGTAATGAAATACTTGAAATACCAATACATTAAAGTCACTGTGAATGATTGTATAAATATTTGCTAGAACATATGAAAGTTAATCAGTATAATTGGATAAAAAATATTGAAGTTTGACATTAATACGTATGTAAAGAAGTTAAACAATGGTGTATATTATATATATATGTATCTGTGTATATACGATTATATAAAATTAAGAGTGATATACATAAGTGTTATGTGTTCAATAAAGAAATCAAATCAATTCTTATCCTATAGTTTTGTTCTTCTATGTACAATAAATGGATGAAACATGGATATTTCACCCGACAATATATTAATGTATCAAATTAATTAATAATTGCTACGTATCGTTTGTACGAATAACGTTATAGAAATTTTTCAAAAAATGAAAAATATTCTTATACGTTAAATCGGTAAAAAAAAAATGTTGCACGTAGAAAACATTAACTCTATAGCGTTAGCTATTACGCATATGCGAAAATAGTTTGAAGATAACACTAATTAATCTCTATACGAAAACACGATTAAACACAATTTATCGTGCTGAAAAAGCTACGTAATATTACGAAAATTTGTGACGTATTTTTTTTAATTTTGCCAAATAACAGAGACTACCCTTCGTGTTTGGATTCAATTATAATTACCCGTTACCAAATGAATCTAGAATATACAATATTAATATGACGTAGGTTATTGTAACTATACCGTACCGTACTTATCTGTATACTCAGCATGTTGAGTTTCCAACACAAACGAGTTACGTAAGTCACATTATGGTAAAAAAAAAAATTATGTAGTGACATCATCAACGGATAATTATTAGTAATGCAATTCTTAAAGATCGATCATCAAAATGTCTTATTACGTACATTATAATTGATTTTGCATATTATATACGGACGCCGCCATTAATTTCATCCTCTCATTTCCCCCTATACGTAAACCTTCTAACAAATATAGTTTGCATAATGCTCCACACTCTAGGTTTCATTTAATTACACAGTATGGCTAATGTGGTTAATTAAGACTAATATGCTTTTCCAAGGATAAAGATTTAATTACGACAATGCCGATGTTCCACCCCAAGCGCGAATCAGATTTAATGTCTTATTAAGCTTTGAACACCATTCCAACCGATCTTCCTTTGTATCCGCTGATAACAAATGCCTGAAATAATACGATTAAAGATGTTTACAATCTTTATGCAAATTCATCCTTTAATGGTACTAACCTGATAGTAGTTCGCGGTCCATTTCGAATCGTTATAAGGCTATCGACATCGCCGGGCTGAGCTGGTCGAACACTTTCCAATAAGAATGTATTGGGACGTGCACAAATATCACGTGATACCATCCCGACATTCGTAGTAGTAATACCTATCAAAAATCAATCACGTGAAATATTAGTATTGTCTTTCTCTAATAAATATCAAAAGTTCCTGAATATATAATGTATTAACAATCAGCAATCGTACCTTGCAAATCAATACTTCCAATAGGAGTCTTTCTTCTCTCGTCGTCAGGATACTTCCAGTAGGAGATGTTTGCACCTTTCAGCAAACACCATCGCCGATGCCATGCGCCAAATCCAGAAACATCTTCGAACATGGTAAGGAAGCCTCTGTGTTCCACAGAAACAGACAACTCGCATGATACATGCATTTGAAGTCTGCCTTCTAACGGCGACGAACGAGGTACCTATTGTAAAACAATTTTTAAACTTTTATATGTAAGTAGACGGTTATATTTAAATCTCTAAATGCTAAATATAAGTGAGAATAAACAAATACCTTATTCAAGGTAAAGTGTTGCCGTTGTACTTCGCGTAAACTAAAAACAGCATATCCAGCAAGAGAAAATGCAGGCGAACGAACAGCCGAGGGTCCTGCAGGACTTTGAACTGCTGTCATCACTAAACGACTTTCTTGTTTAAGGAATTTTTTTGGAGTCTTTATTCCACCCTGTAAGTTATCATTGTCAAGTGATTTCATTTCATATTTAAATAAAGTTTAATAAAACACCTACCTTCTTACTGCCCATTCCGTGATTACTAGTACCACTACCTCCACTTGCACTGTTGCTACCATTATTATGAATATGGTATTTAATCTCATGAGGTAAAACTTCAGCTCTAGTCTCCAAAGAGTATATTTCAATAGTGATTTTGAAGTCACTGTAAAGATCTTGAAGCTTTAAAGTAGAAGGAAACCGAATGCATGAGTCACCAGGTTCAGCCATAACTACTGGAGTAGCTACAATATTCTCCAAATGCCGTATAAGACATACGTGATGAAGACACGTATCTGAAATTGAATAATATTAATGCAAGCACTGAATTAAATGTGGATATTTATAAGATCAATTCTAGGCAAACTTCTTACCAGCATCTACAGTGCGGAAATAATCTCTTTTCAACGGAAGAGTGATCGCGGACACAGTAAGTGATCCACTTTCCTGCACTTCCGGCGAACCTGGCACCACTGGTCTCAACGTTCCTTCAACTTTGAGCCTTTGCACCTCGTTCAAAGCAGCCTGTCTTCTGTGAGCTAGTTTACGCACAACATGAAATATATATATAAAAGTAAATGAATATTTTAGATATTGGCATATATGAGCATATTAAAAATAATAATTACTGGCTAGAAGTAACAATCTTTCTCCCTCAACTTGCTCTTGAGAACCGCTAAATTCAACAGTTGCACTGCACAAATTAAGTGCTTGACTGGCTTGACCAATTATTGTTTGCTGCTTGCACACTTCCTCCAGCAGCTGCTTCATCTTCTCCTGTACCAGGATGGCTTCTTCATCCGCGTTAGAACCGGTGGAGCTCGTAGAGGACTGTGGTTCTTCAATCGTTCGAGATACCGTACGCACTGGCGTTCTTGATGTCTGGAATAATTATCACCACTAAAATGATTACATTCTGAGAATTATAGAACAGAGTGCTATAATTACTGTCTAACCTGAGATTGTTGCCGTCTATAAAAACTAACGCTATGCATCAAAGGTACACAATTATCTCCTTCCACGACGTACGATTCTCCTTTACGTGGAGATTTTGCAGATAAAACTACCTTGATTGGTGAACGATAAGATGACCTGCAATAAAAATAAATAAATGCAATATTAGCAAATCTGTTAATTATACTATGTCCAAAGTATTATTGAACATAATAAGAAACATACTTGAGTATTAAATTATTCCACATACCCTTGACTGTACTTAAAACTATTGGATACGGCCGATGGACTTTTTCCACCTCGATTTAGTTTTGGGGGAGTTGGTCCTTCTAGACCCTCATGACCATTAGCATCTTGCAATGCTAAACATTCATCCAAATATTCATCCATTTCATCCAAAACAGAAATGTCAGATGTCGTGCTGTCTGGATCGGGATCGATTGATCTCTTGAATGTGGCAATGTAGAATTAATTTGTATTTGCATTAGAAATTATTTTTAAATTCATGTAAATATCAATAGCATTATTTTGTTCTTAGACAAAAATGCATACCTTTTTATTCGATACAGTTTGTTGATCGACAACGCGTAAAATACTTCTCCCAAGACTGGTATTTCCAATATCTGTGCTCTCTTCCGTGCTATCATACGACTCGTCACAATTCTACAATAATTATAACATGTACAATTCATATACTCTGTATATGTAATTATTGTGAAAAAAAGGGTTTTATGCTTACGTCAACATAATATTCAGCTTCTGTAACTGTATCAGATTCGGTCTGTTCATCCAATGTAGCTGTTTCCGGTTCCGTATCTTCAACCGTATATTCGGTTTCCGTTTCCGTTTCCGTTGTCGTGGTCGTGGTGATACACTCAATGTTAGAAAGATCAGGATAAAGATTACCCGGTTTCGGATCAGATACACGAATGCGTTTAATATCAGATTGTATTTTAGTTTGCTGGGATTTTGTTGCATTCGTCACTGTATGCATAAATTCAAAGCGAATGTTATAAACTTTTAACTCATTTATTCATTATTTAATCTCTCAACATACCCTGTCTTTTAGCCGGCGATGATATGCCGCCAGTTGTATTATTTTTGGATGGAGGAAGTGGCGGAGCCGGAGGCACTGCATCCTGTGTAAATTGCAACAATCTTATAAACCACATTTATATAATTCGTATATGAATCATAATAGCATCTATGAATTCATCAATTTTGTGAATGACAAAATAAAAGCCATTGCACTTTTTGTATGAATTATAATAACAATAAAACCATAATTTACCAGAGCCGGCGTTGGTTTTACAGGACAAACCGGTGAATTCTTCGGAGAACTCGGTTTTCCTTCGCTACTCTCACTCGTTCTAATACAAGAACCGGCAGCAGCTTGAGCCATTTGTTTATTTCTGTTGAAACGTGAGCGTAACATTTCCAATTCTCGTTGCCGCTCATTATGAGTATTACGTAGAATATCATTTTCCAACTCCTGAGTGTAACTGCCTTGCTCGAATATGGCGCGTTGTGAAACAACTTTCTTATTGGACAAATCTACCTTACCACGACCATTTGCTGAGCACGTTTCTGAAATTCACAATAAATAGATGTCCGAATACATTCATATTTTCGGTAGGTTTTAACAGGTGGCGATTAGTAAGCATCCAGTAATTACCTGTTCCATGGACAGGACTTGAGTTAGTCTTTTCCTTTTCAATAAGCTTCTTGGAAGGGACGGACATTGTAAGAGGAGCCTTAGGTATTAGAGGTGCCTCTCCCTTATTACGCTCGAAAAGAGCCATCCTTTCAGAAAGTGTCATTTCTGCGGGATCCTTTGCTTTCACCTCGATATTCTTTGCCTCGAACATAGAGGCCTTACTTAAAACTGAACCTGGTGACTGGATTGGGCTCTTTGGCGACCCGCCGCAGCCAAATCTTGTAGGCATTCGAACGTTAGTTGTGCTTGCTCCAACGTTCTTCTTCTCAGGCGTTTTAGACACAAGTGCGCTGTCCTTAGCTTTTGTGTTGATTCGAATCCCGTTATCTTTTCCTGAAGAGGCACTTGATGGAGACTGTGTTTTCTCTTCCTCTACTACCTGGTCCCTGGTAAGATGTCTGCCAATGTTGGAGTTTGGATTCTTTTCCTGGGAACAACCCTTATAGTCATATACAAGTCGAGAATGGCTGACAGTACGAGTAAAACCTTGAGCCTCCTGCAAAATATGATTTTCAAAGCATTTGATATTCATGAATATATCTCATGGGCTAGAATCCAATAGCTATGGTATTATAATAAGACTACAATAAGTTAGAAAATAATGTTTTACTCATATGTCCTATTAATCGATACTTTACTCATTCTTCTAAGGTTTCAGAAAAAGTGTAAACGGATTTCTTACCAAATTCTCCAACACGGCTTTATCCCACTTCAGTTGCTTTGTAAGGCTTGCATCTTTGCTCTGTCCAGGACTACTTGAATTACTTGCACGTGTACCACCAACGAAATGTGCCTTCGATTGTGTGCGGTCATTGGATATCCATTTGCCGTTTCCACTAGTACTTGGTTGAGGTTCTGCAGCTCTTCTTACCTGCTCGTTAAGTTTTGCCTGCACTTTGATGGCTTTACTTTCGGTCTGCTTGACCTGTAATGGAAAATATCAGTTTTAAAGCCCTTAACTGAAATGTGCTTCTCTAAAAAGTAAAAAAAACAAGAATTTCAATAAATTTCTTACCAACGTCGGATGGGAAAGATCATCTTCCCAATTATTAATGGTGGATGCAAGAGCAGCCAAACGATCTAATCGCGCACTACTTTTACTAGATTTGGAATCATTTGTTTGCATGCTTGGTTCATCCTCTGCAGCAAATCTCTCTTCAGTTCTATGAATGGGCGAACTCAACTCGCGACTACTATCTTCTGCATGAAACATTTGATTATTATATTTATATTAAATAATCATTCTAATGTTGCCTGCTCTTCAAGCTAATATACCAAATGTACTACTATATTATGGATTGATACAATAAATCAAAGATAAAACCCAAATAATCTAATATCATGAATGTATTGTCTATATGACTCATACAATATATTAGTAATGGAAGAAGGTGTATGCTGTTCTCTGTTTGATACTCTATTCAGTAGCTTGTACTGTATATGTATTACTTACCAGAATACAGGTTGCCAAGTCTTTGTAACTTTGACCTGATATTGGAAACTGGAGTTTCTCCATTCTCTTTGTTAACCATATTTTCTTGATCAGTACTTTTTGCAGGAGGTTGCTCTTGTAGTTGCTTTTGTGGTGACTTCTGTAGTGATTTAGCCAAAGATTGTTTTATTGGAGAAGCTACTTTGACAGGAGAGTTTGATGTGATCTGCGATTCAATTGCTAAAAGATTAAAATATAAATTAAATTAGTATAGACCTTTAAAAAATTTGTAAATAAAAACCTGCAGATCAAGATTATTTTTTTTAATTATTAGCACACCCATTATGGTAAAACGGACTATAAAATATTAATTAAGAATAATCTAATACAAAAGATTCATACCTGGGGCCTGTGCTAAAATAGCATTTGCATCCTTCAGTGGGCTTCTCCTTTTCTTCAAATCGTGTCCTGCATTTGATAATTGTGTATCTAATTTCTCGCGCCTTGCTCTTGCACGTTCCAACATACGCTAAAAAAACGCGGGTAAAACTCACTATACTTTCTATCCATAGTGTACTTATTGTGTATGCCAGTCACCTCATAGGGTGGGGTGTAGAGCATCAAAATAAAACAACAATAAGAACCGAGAATGGATAAAACTTTTTGCCCATGGCAAATATTAGCCTTGACAAGGGAATCGGTAACGAAATACGGTATCGAAAGAAAATACATTGGGAATTAGTCCATTAGTTCATCGTTAGGAAAAACCTATATCTATTTAATTGAACGCCAGAGCATACCTGAGTGAAAGGGTCCATCGTCTAATAAGCTTTGTGTCTCAATTCCACCTTAACGACTCTGCTACCGATATATTTACCGCACTCTTTGAAGATTTCATGTACTCCTTGAAACGATTAAGTTTCAAGTTTCAATAATTTAAAAATTAAAAACTTGTTAATACGAAAATGAAGTTGTAGTACAAACACTGCAGTTTCGGCCGTTTTTTAGATTTAAATGCCCGTTTTATTGTCCCAATCAAACTCGCGCACAACAGTACTCAAAAGTGATCAACTTGACAGTTTTGATTTTACCATGAGCTGTCAATATTTCTCGCCATAATCTAACTTATGAGCGCCAATTAATTTAGCTGAATACACGTGTTAAACTTTTGTATAAATAATCCTTTAGAACAAAGAGCAATTCGCTAATTCAAAGACAACGCTTCATGGAGAAAAGTAAAACGTACGCACACTTAACAATAGATGCCTATGGAACGCTCGCTGCCGCCAAACCTGTAGTGGGGAGGTTTGCGATGCTTGTTGATGACGTCACAGGACCAATAAGAATAATAACATGACCATCCTGAAGTATACAAAATGCTGTCGGCACGACAATCCCAGTAAAGAATCCACCAGATATAACCCTGACTTTCATAGTACATTTGGCGAAATACGTTTAATAAATACACAGTGAGTTTCATAATAAATGGTATTGAGATAAAACAATTATTTTAAAGTTAAATGCACTTATTGAAAGTCATGTGTTATGTCTTAACGTATCGTCTAGGGAAAATAACATCGTGTAATCATTGCAAAATAGAACTTCGACTAACTTCAGAGATAATATTTTGTCAGTTGAACTTCCAAGCGCATATTGGACCACCGTTTGAATCCTAAAGATATCATTGGCTGAAAATCCAGAACGTTTTAATCTTCTTTCAAAATAGACCAATAGCATTGTAATAATATATTTGTACAACCGTCACTGATTTAGCAAGGAGATTATAATTCGTTATTACAATCATATATTATGTTACATTGTGTATAGAAAATTTGAATAATACAAATATTCAATCGTAACGAAATATAAGTTTTTAATTAAAAATTCCTTATGTTCTAATACTTTACATAAAGAATATATAAAATGACTGTGATGATTTCTCTTTTTAAACATCTTATATTATTTATTTAAACATTATTTATGCATATGTGTTATTTAGATTAAAAGAATTAATTTAAGTTAACAGATTCCTTTGCTCCTAGAATACAATAACTGTACATTTATTCAAGAATTTGACACAAAAAGGAATACATTTGAATCTTCCATATATTTAGAATTCTTCATGAAATGTGTGTCGACTGCCATTTCAAGTTTATATAGAATACTATACTTTTATAGGCTGTTTCCACTATAGTGGAGTTCAGAAGTAATATATGTGAATTTTATATCCATAGATTAATATGTAGCAAAGAATGCACATGTACAGCAATACATTCTTAGATATTAGATCTGTATACGTATACACATAGCCAATATTAATATCCGTTGGATATCCCATAGATATTACGTGCTATGTGAACTTAGACATGAGATGTTTCATCTCCAGTATCAGCAGCCATTGCTTCCCTATTCTCATAAGCCCAAAAACCATGAAATTCAATTAAAATACTGACCATTGTATCACCTTGTCCACTGTAAGAGAAATTTTTATATTTTCATGTGACAAATGTTACCAACAAACTCAGTAACTCTCGCGCCAATTTGAAACTTACCAGGATAAAAGATCCTGCAAAGTAATTTTACAAGGATCTGCAGGTTTCACCATATCAAATATTTCATCTTTTACATCTTCAAAACTTACAGGTTCTTGGCCATGCATCGTCATTTGCTCTTGAATAGCCTACAAATAAAATTACCAGATTTATTCAATTAATCTCTATATCCTGAGTGATTAACAGTAAAAAAAAATGTAAGAACTAACACGAAAGAAATAGTTAAGACAAAAAGTATCCAAGTATCCACGGTTATTGATATCTAATATACGGAATAGATAATGAAGACTTTGCGGTTCGTGTCGATTTTCTAATGCTAATACAAAATCCAAATATGTCTTATAATCCATTTCTCCTTCATATGTTAAACATTCTTGAAATACTCTTTCAAGAAAAACTCCTGTCAGTGTACCTGTGCCATACCTGATTAAAAAGATCTATTATTATCACTTGAATGGTATATTACCTAATTAAAATATTATACAATGTAAAAATAAATATATAAGAAAAATTGGTAATAAACATACCCAGATAATTCTTCCTTATTGAGCATGCCATTGTGGTCACGATCAAGATTCAGATATTGACCATAAACTTTGAGAGCTGAGGGTGCAGAAAACCAATTTGCTTCCTGTAGATCCTTTGGTAAATCTTCATCACGAAGCTCCAATAGGTCATCAAGAAAACTACATGCTAAGATATCTTGAATCCGCACTCTACCTGTTCGCAATGGATCAAGAAAGAACAAAAACTTCCTTACAGCAGTACAAACGTAAAAAGAATGGAATGATTTTTCCAACCCCTCAAGTTGTGGCAGTGTTGGAATCAATTCCAAAATATAGTTTTCCAAATCCTGTGAGAAGAATCTCATTAGTGTCATACTAAATAGGTTCAGATTTATTTTCCTACTTACAGACTCTCTAAGATATCCTTGACCAGTAACGTCATATAAAGAAAGGCCAATTCTTGTTTGATGCAACCAAACTTTTCTCATAACATAATTAAATAGTGCCATAATACTGATTCTTCCATGAGGATCTCCTTGTTGAAGCTTTGCAAATACAACAGCTGTGAAATAAGGCACACATTTTTGACCAGCTAAATTACCAACTTTCTTGAAATCCTCATAATTGATTAATTGCTCGTCTCCAGACAATGGTGGACTATGATGTTTATCCAAAAGGACCCATAGAGCCTTCAGTTCATTGTTATCTAGTAATTGACGTGATCGTCTTTGTAAGAACAGAGCACGCGTTTCTTCACGTAATTTTTGTGGTAAAATTTCATCTTCTTTAGGCAGCTGAATCATATGAATACAAAAATTATTTGAAACTGCTAAGACTACAAGATTTGTATTTCAAACATTATATTTATTACAGTACCTTAAAATAAAATTTGGGGATCACTTTATACGTGGCATCCTTATCTTCAGCTCTTAAACCTTTCCATTCTTCATATGCTTTTTGAAAATATTTATCTTCTTTGTTTTCTATTTCTTTGGATCTACTATTGTCTGCTTCAGCATATTATAATAATATCAGTAATATACATTGCATCTTATTCAGCCCAAACACACCACCTGAAATCGTTTTGCTATAGGACTCAAATGGGCGTGCTAACTTCAGGTGGTGCGTTTCTACTGAATAACCTTTTATATGAAATAATAATTAATATCAACAATATAATCACAATCAATCCTAAAATAATAATATTATATGAAATGTAAATGGTTGTTCAATTACAAAACATAAAAATACAAAGACAGCTAAATAGAAAAAAATGTAAATAGATTTAGAAACTGAATTTTATATTCTGAAAAAAAATTTCTGTATATCGTATTTAATCTTATTCAAAACAAATTGATAATTGCTTAAAGTTCACATGATACTAATTATGTCCAAACACTAAATACTAGTATAGAGATTATAATAATAATAGAGTTACAAGAGCAGAGTTTCAGTTATAAGAATTACTTAGTATAAGATTTTTTCACCTTATATATTGACATAAAATAAATATACCCTGAATTAAATATGTTTATAAATATAAAAGCGTCTATAACTTCAAATTGTATAATAAAAAAATACAAAAACCGTGTATAGTCCTGTAGCTACTTATTTTTTACTCATAAAAATAACAAAGTAAAGATCAATCTTTTGAGCTCAACAAGAAGAAACAATAATCGAAATAATAGACAAATTTGTTTTATTTTCAATGAAAATATTACGTTTGTTCAGTGTTGCACACTTCTCCAGAAGTGCTGTAAGCTCCATTTGTGCTAGACAGGTTATGTATTATAGACTTGACACATTATATTATTATGTTTAACGATGCTCTCCGTATTAGTTCTCCGTATTAAAAATAATCAGTTTCCTGCTTTCGAAATAACAAAGTAAAATGCGTATTTATAAAATTTTGAGGTAAATAGTACGTAAAATAGTAAATTTCATACAAAGAAATCTTTTGCCGAGAATACAGACTAATAACTGGTAATAACCTAATGACTAGTAGTGACCCCCTGTCGATTAATTAACTTTATACTTATTATTAGAGGCTATTAAAGGCTATCTAGAATTTATTAAATTTCTTCAAATTCAAATAAAAAATTTGTGTTGCTTCCTGAAAAACTTCATTTATTTCCTGTTCAAAACGAACCAATTGAATCGTTTCAAAAGCAAATTGTAAAGAAATCGTGGGATACGCGGCAAACAAGTTGTTTACAAATGGTTGCCGCATTTCTGTGGTTTATGAAAGTGTTGAAATGGCAGAACAATTAGAATATGTTATAAGTCCATGGGAAGTTGAAACTTGTATAGAAAATCTGCAAACCTCTGACATTAACGATTTTGGTAAAAAATGGTATTAAAATTAAAGAATATCATAACAATGTAATTTTTTTAGACACAAAGTACTAGTTAATTAGTGAAACGTAATTGCAGTTGGTTCGAATTTCACAAGAAAATAATGTTGCTTAATCAACAGAGCATTTTAGAAATTAATGCAATGCGTGAAGAGACTGTTAAGGAGTGGTTCATAACATTTAAAAAGGTATATTTTTATTCATTGTATTTGGATTTAAAATTATTTTACTTTTTTTTTAACTACTGTTTAGATTTCTTTTGAATGCATTAATAATATTGGAGCAATAACACATCCTTCGTAAAAAACTTTTATTATTATTTTATTTTAGATAACTGTTCTCATATATGAAGCAATCCAAATCGATATATGGAAACAGAAAGTGTTTCCAATATTGATAGAGATTAATGAAGAACCAACCAATACTTTTTTACTCTATAGTATATTCTATCACGAATCACTTGCCACTTCATTATTGGAAAATGTTCTATTTCACTCCAATAGTGCAGATGCAATAGATGATTCTGCATTAGATTTAGTTGATTATGCAGTAAATAAAGTAACTACACTTTTTGTTTCTAATGACACAGACCTCCAAAAGAACCCTAATGAATCTAAGTATGTTCATTAGTACATACATATTTGAGAAGTAATTCTAAAAGTAGTATCTTACACAAAGTCAATGTAAGGATTTCTTTTACAATAATAATATATTTTTGTAATTTAAATAGCACATGCCTGGAGGAATTACTTAAAAGAAAATTTGAATTGGAATTTGACATTGCAATGAAATGTATTTCCATATTACGCTACTTAGCAGAATTTTTAGATAATTTACCACTTTGTGTACTTTCTCGAATGCTTACAACGCACGATGTACCCTATTTATTATGTAAACTTATTGAAAAGAAGCCATGGAAAAAGGAAAACGAAAATGGTAAGATGCAAAGTATATATAGGCTATTTTTGGACAAAAGTTATTGTATCATTTGCAGGAGAAAGTATGATATACAATGGTAAGTGGGAAATCATAAATCTAAATGATGCAGAACGAATTTCTAAGATTGAAGGACAAGCATGGATCGGATTGCGTGAACTGTTGCTCAATCCAAAATGTGTTCCTTATTATGAGATTAATGACTTTAGAATGTCCGAATTATTTAAGGTAATACTGATTTTACTTTTCTAAGGAAACAAGTTTTTTAATATATGTATTCAATACAATCTGTTGAAATCATTACTTTGTGACAGTTGCAAAAATACTTACATGAATATATACTTGATCAAATTTCTCCACTTATTGATTTAAGAAGATGGCTGATGCAATTAAGCCTCTCAGCTGCAGCAACGACTGACCAAAAAACAATCAATATAGAATTGATGTCACAGGTATAACATCTAATACTTTGAACTTCAATATTGCTGTTGCACAAATGTTACTTTTGTATTTAGATAAGATCATCAATTTTGGAGAAGTACCATAAAAAATGGAAAAAACTTGCAAGAAGTCAATCCAATTATTTGTTCACTGAGAACATACAATATATTAGGCACATAGCTCAAATTTTGAGTGAAGCGTACAATTTGGATAAACTCGATTATCTTGAAATGCGAAAGTGTTTTGGTTGTAATGAACCCGCTAAAAAACGATGTTCCAAGTGTAAGACAGCTTGGTATTGTAGCAGGTATGACAACTTATAGAATTTTTATCCGTTTCTTTTTACTATTAGTACATTGTATATAAACGATTCATTTCCAGAGAATGTCAAGTCAAAGATTGGATCAATCATAAAATTAATTGTATACAATAATCATGAAATAGAAACTATTATTAAACCATATCTTTTTTTATAGTCTTTGTAGTGAAATATAAATAACAAAAATAAAGAGTAAATAGTATTGGAGATTATGAATGTAATAATGGAAGTATGCAATGTGTTACAGTTTTAGTTATTTTTAATAAAAGAAGGCTAGTGTACAGAGTTTTGTTTAAGATACTCCATAAGAACGTCCTTTGCAGGTGTCTCTTCTCCAAAGTCCTGAAATTATATAAAAATATGTTGAGTAATTTTAATTTATACAACTATTAAATAGATTTTTATAAAGGATATTATGTCAGAAAAGGCACTGCTCAGCAGTTTTTGTATAATTGGGTTCATCTCAGTAGAGGGAGCCTTATGTATCATCATATAAAAAATTACTTAAATAAAATATTACTCAAGAAATTTAATAAATTATTTACCTTAATAACAACACAGGAGCAACCAACGACTTTGCGTGCTTTACCAGCATTGTCAATCTTGCATAGACCAGCCCACTCTCCTAGCTTTTTGTTGTTGTCCACCTTAATCAATGAGATTTGATGCTCATTGCATAAAGCCTGAACCAACTTTTTGTACATGGGCTCATCACAATTTTCTGCCAAAATGCATAGCATTGCTTGCCTCCTATAAATAAATATGATAGAATAAAAAATTGTTAATATGTAGGTTGCCGCAATAAATTTCCTATAACATAATTCATATGGATCTGCCAGTCACCGGTGATCCCCAAGGCAGTCATTGTTTTAATAAAAGAGATCTTAAATTGAATCTATACCATTATTGTATCACTCGTTTGAAGTGCACAATACATCTTTCCACACTAACAATCAATAGGTATGTCTCGTTACCTACACTTTCTGCACTTTATAAAAAGTGCAAATTCTTATTGGATATTTGAAAGTAACCAATGAGACCTTGTCCTTTTTGAAAAGTGTGAAAAGTGTAGGTAACGGGACAAACCTAATTTTATTAAACAATAAATAAAATGGATATACGTACTTGTCAAGAGCTTTGGCAGCTTCATGAAGACCATGCACAACGCCATCATGAATGAGAGCATTTTTCAGAACCTCCTGGAGGGCTGTATTTACGTCCATGGATCCACCCGCCGTAACGGCGGAACGGACATCATCGCTATTTTAAGAAAAAACAATGATCGAGTTCATTGCAATAAGCACTAAATAAAATATGATTCACGTTTTTAAGGTTAAACATTTAGTAACAATAGCTTCAAAATAATCATTGCACCACCTCAAAATTAACACAAATTTCAGGATTGTGAGATAAATGAAATACACTATTATATATTATAACTTTAGGCAACACAATTGATGCTGAAATTATCAAACATGCTTTTCAGCGATGTAAACAGAACTAGACACTTGTAGTCACACTTACGTTTCCACGTCAGACATATTTTTCAAGAAGCCGGAGAGCTAAAATAAAAGATGCAGATTAATATTCGTGAACTAAGAATTGTATTTTAGGTATTTATAATGTTCATATGACGAAGATGCCACTGAAATTAATCGATTTGAAAGACTATAGTACGAAGCGTCCTCCATTTACCTTTTCTTAACCGGAAAGAGAAACTCGTCCACACCGTTGCACTTAGAGTCCCTCTAGTCAGAGTCCGACCAACACCCGGAATAGACGCCATGTTCCTTCCTTCCTTTCCTTATGGCTGTATCCCCAATGGGGGATATGTGCCAGTAACTGGTCCTAATAATCAAGGTTGGAAGTTCGACAATAGATGGCGATGTACCTTGCGAGACGGGCCTTATTCAACTCAGCGTGAGGGGACCTACAAAGTTTATACACCAAATTCGAACAGTGTTGGGCGAAGTCCGTATAAATACTCACTTAAGTTTTCATATGAAAACCCATTGGTGAATGCCGCTGGAAGCTGGGCGCGAACCTCCAACCTTTCAGTGGTGAATCCGCTACCTTATCCACTGGGCTACGACAGCCCCCGGACGCTATGTTAAGGGCTTGTTTGGCACCACGATGACATTCCGCGAGACTCGGTCGAGTCTCGCGCCAAGTACTGGCAACCCGCCGTACAGGGCTTAACACTACCTACACTACACACTGCTTCTCTCTCCCATATACGTATTAACACACACCATTCTCTTCCGGAAAGAGCCCACAATATTGCGGAGCCAATCACTAAGAAGATCCACCGTTGGCCGGACTCTGACTAGAGGGACTCTAGTTGCACTGATACGTTGGGTGCGTTCCACTTAACGCTCGCAATGCTCGCGTCCACGACCGTAAGATTTCGTGTTCCACTAGCTTGTGGACTGTTGTGGACGTCGTGGTCGAAAACTTAAGTGGAACGACTTATCGGACTTGTGAACGATACAAAGATGGCTGGTGGTATAGAGAATATATGTATAAGGCTAATGCGTGAACGGAATTATGTTTCTGAGAGTTCATCAAGCTCAGATAACGACCCATTATACAGGAATCATGAAAAAAAAAACCAAAACTCGATTTTTAGAATGTTCTGTATTTATATACAAAAGGAAAGAACTAAAAAATATTGTTTAAGAATTAAAATAAGAAACTTAAACTGACTACACCCTAATAGTTGAGATTATCCTCTGATAATATTAATCTCCATTAATAATATCTAGGTAATTAATATCTGTAGAAATATACTAAACATTTGAAAATAAAACAGTGATTAACGATTAAAGGAACGAAATATATCTATCTGTCCCTCTCAGAATCGTACAGCGTTATTTTTTCAGTCTCCATCATAAATTTGAATTGAAAATGGCGCACAAAAACATCAAACGACCACAAAGACCCACCTATTTGATGTGGGCGAAGCGATCGCATCGTGGTCGCCAATGATGACGTCATCGATGACATTCAGGGACTGCTCACAGCGACCGCGGCCTTAAGTGGAACGAGACAGAGGGTGTTGCGCTTGTTGCGAGCGTTAAGTGGAACGCACCCGTTGTTGGCGCCGTCAGTCATCTCACTTTATTTCCGATTAGTGAAGAAATGTGGACGGAAAGTTTTGGAGCCATCTGTGAACGCTCCACGTACTAACTGGTACTAACTTTACATTTTCCCAAAAAGGATATTTTATTATATCATAAAAGTTATCATCGTTTTGGTAGAGATAATTTGATTTCCATAAAAAAAGAAAATGGTTATATTATACGTTAAATCAAAACCTCTTACTAATTACCTGAGGAAACTGAACGTTCTATCGTGACATATTATGTATAGCGCTTTAGTTTACCGTATATAAACACAAAGAACTTAATGTAGAGTTCTATAAAGTTTCATGTTGCAACAGTGTTGTTCTATTAACAATTATTATACTTACTATGAATATTACCTTATTTTCTATATTAGCGTTATTTATATATGCAAGAGGTTATGCATTAAGAGTTTCACTTTACTAAATATTGAATATATCTAGATTCAAGTTACTCTATGTTCATTATGTGAACACTTCTATTTTTGTTTGTATTTGAAAACCAGCTTCAAATTAGCGTTTATTAATTATAATTTCATATCGAGCCTGTGTATAAGCGGTAGACAAGAAGACGCATAAATTATAATGGCAAATCATTACGAAGTACCTAATTGGTATGTTATTTTTATCTTGGTATTTTGTAATCGCTTGTTTCAAGATTCTGACATTCAAGTATGATATTGGAAATATTTCGATTTCTGTTATATCTTATTAATTAATATACACATATGTTATTATTTCAGGGCAGGAAAACCACCAGTTGGCTTACATTTGGATGTTTTGAAAGGAGATAAATTAATACAGGTAATTAAAAATCTTTTATATGTCATTTTATTACAGTAACCTAAAAATTATCTTTTCGTATACTTCAGTGATGCATATCTGATATAGTAATTTAAATAAGGCATTGATGAGTATACAAATTATTTTATATTTACATTCACTTACTTGAAACCTTTAATATTAGTTGTAGTGAGCATAATATATAGTTTTATTCATTAATATCGATGCTAATTCTTAAATGTTCTGTCAAGCATGGTTGTCATTCATTGTTTTGTCAAATACCATTTATTTAATTCATTCCAGAAATTGATGGTGGATGAAAAAAAATGTTACCTATTTGGCCGGAATCAACAATTAAATGATTTTTGCATTGATCATGCTTCCTGTTCGAGGGTTCATTCAGCTCTTGTCTACCATAAACATCTGAATCGAGCCTTTCTCGTTGATTTAGGCAGTAGTGAGTATTAATCTTACCATAATCTTTAAAAGTTTGTAAACATTTTCAAAAACTTGGATATAATAGCATTAAAAAAAAAATAAGTATTCAACAAATAAAGAACAATAAATTTCATTAAAAATATTTGTAGCACATGGTACTTTTATTGGTAATATGCGACTGGAATCGCACAAGCCAACACAATTGCCCATAGACAGTACTTTTCACTTTGGAGCTTCCACCCGGTATTATATTATTCGTGAAAGACCACAATCTGGAACCAGACAAATTATTGAAGAATTGGAAAAATCATCTGAGGATATTGATTCAGGTGGCCTATTAGGTCTGCCTGAAACAGAAACTGAATTGGATGTAAGTCTTATATAAAATTTTACTATTATCAATCATTACCACATTATTTTATTGGATTATTATTTTTCACTGCAAAACTGAATTGTTTTAATTTTCAGAATCTAACTGAATTTAATACAGCACACAACAGGCGAATTTCTATGTTAGGAATAACAGATGATGAGGTGCACAAACCAACAAGGAAACGAAAGAAAAAAGGAATTACTTTCAATGATGACGAGGAAGTGATAAACCCAGAAGATGTCGATCCTTCAGTGGGCAGATTTCGAAATCTTGTACAAACAACTGTGGTGCCAAGCAAAGTATGTATACATTATATTTTAGTTATTCATACATTTTTCTGTTTGTAATAAGTAACTAATATATTATTGAATATTTGACTTACACAGAGAATGCGAATGGAAGGTGGCTTAATATCTTTATCTGAAGACTCTCATAATCCCATGAAGCATCTTCAACCCACATCTATCGCTCCCCAACTTTACCATGATTTGCCACCAGAACAATTTACGAGTTCCTCGTTGCCAAATAATCCATTTTCCACTGCGCTGACTTCCCTGACATCACGTCTTGGCATTGCCTTACCGAATCCAGCACCTGAGGTCGAAATGGCACCAAATCAAATGCAGACGGAGGTTCCACACATTCCGGAGGTGCCAGGATCGACGGAGCCACACACTATGGAACCTAAAAAGAAGAAATACGCGAAAGAAGCGTGGCCTGGAAAGAAACCATTACCAACTCTTCTAGTGTAACTAAAGTAGCTCTCGTGTAATATGGCAAATCATAACAGCAGACGGATAAACTCTATGGTAGTGTAAATATAAGACTGTACCAAGAATTTTAAAAAGCGTCTCTTCTACGCGCAAAAATTCAGCAATTGACAGTATACATCATCATCGATATTCTCAGCATCGTTCATGTAAAATTGTGAAGTTTTAAGATTTAATGACTAATGAAAAAACGAAGAGAAAGTTTTCAAGTGAAATAAATAAACGATGTAATTTATCCACAATGGATAACTTCATTAATTTGTCACACCAGTCAAGAGTCAAATAATATTGTTTATAAAATTACGCCAGATCTTTAACTATACCAAGTAAAGTAAGACTGCTTTTTACTAATGAAATATTAGTCAATGACTATTTTTTGCTCAATATTTAATTTAACAGTTATCTTTTTGAAGTTCTTTAATTGTTTTATATGTGCAAATTATGATTAAATAAATCTTCTTTGTACTAAAACAGCTGACTTACTGTCAGTCGCATTTTATATTATATTACAGTTAATACGAGGTAAAGGTTAAAATAAATAGAAGAATATCTTAAAAAATAGAAATTGCTTTATTGATAAAACACAGCAAACTGTACGAAGAAAGCTGCTATTTTGTGGTCAGGGCATACTTTTAGTGTTAACTGCAATAGGCCATGTGATAGGTCCTTTTAAAACAATATTATCCAAGCCAACTTTGATCTTCATAAATCTTCTTTTAAATTCAAGACCACAGCCTTTGGACAATCGGAAATCAACTAATATTTTCCCATCCATCTCAATCATATTGGCTTTAAAGACCAATGGCATCTTTCTTCGATCCGTTCCTGTTATTGTAACCTGATAAAACAAACGCAATAACTTCAATTATCATAAAGTTTTCAATCGAATTAACATCAAAATATTAACGGAATATTCGTAAAATACGTACTATGCCAAAATCGTTTATACGATAAGTATATTTTTCATTTTCTAAATACTGAAGCAATCTTTTCACGGTGGCCTCACAGTCAGTTTCGACAAAAAACCTTGTCATTCGACGAACAAGCTTCTGGAATGTATTCTAGACAAATACCAAAAGTTACATTCAATATCCTTTTAACCTCAAGAATTTATTACGAAATGCATTGAATATCAATTATAAGCACTGGTACCTGACTCGTTTGAGTGTACTGTGTAGCTTGCAATTGCGTGCATAACAAAAGGTCCTCCATGTGAGCAGGCTGAGAAAACGAAAACCCGGGTCGTTCCTCAAAATTAATTCGTACCGAATTTATATTCTCCTTTCCAGGAAGCTCTGGTTGTGACATACATAACGTTGTTAAATTCTCCTCATCTTCAGTGTGCACACGTTTCTTATTGGAACCATCAACTGTATCATCCATTTCCGAATTCCCAGCTGCAATTGTAATATACTGATTACTCAAAGAAAATCCTTATATAAAGAAAAAAGTTATATTTTTGACATCTTTGCAGCAAATTATTGATTAATTTGTATAATTAAAAAAGCGGATCATAAATATATCAAATCGATGCGTTACCATCGTCCTGACTTCGGTAATTTAGCTTTATGAGATAAAACAGTCATACAGCTAGATAACCAAAGACAGGACAACGGCATCTCCTTCTAGCCTGGAAGATTCTTTATTGTCTCTGGTAGTTCATTCAGTTGCATTAGCCAATGTTCTTTGCACTGGTAATCCAGCTTTATAATCTTTGTGTGTAATCATAGAGCTGTATTACCAAAGAAAAGGCAAAAGCTATTGAGTCTGTCGTTTGCTTCATAAGTTGGTGATCAACTATTATTATATTGTCGTATGAACAAAATTGTGTGAAAATTGGTCTCTGATGAATGCGGTGTACACACAGTTGGGTATTGAGTTTCTTTGAGTATTCATAATTTACTCAGAGTCACTCAGTACCTGACTAAGAGAGCACCATGTATATATGCCCTGTTGGTATACAAAAAATAAACGTATTGAGGTACAGAATTCATTTATACTTACCCCATCCTAGTACAGCAAATTAAACTTCAAATATGTATATTATTATCACATTACAATGAGAATAAAATGTATGAAAATAATGATTGTTCAGTATCATGTATATGAATTATCACTGTAAGTTATGTACATGTAAGTTTGTATTTAAATGTATTTATACTAATTTTATGAAAGAAGGTGTTATGAATCATTAAGAGTACTAAAATGACTAATAGATCATTATTAATAAAATATAAATAAAAGCAAAAAATAATCATACCTCTGTTGCAATTTTTTGTAAACCACCTGTGTTGCTTGATGTCTTCTATGGTATATCTGGTAGAGGGTACATGGGCAAGTATCTTTCTAAGTATTGCAATAGACAAATTATCCAATTTTTTCCATGGAGTCAATGACATGTACTTTCCTTCTCTCCACGCCATATATTCTCGGCATTCTACCACGGATTGATCCCATGGCAGTTCTATATTTCAGACACGGACCAGTTAGTAACTAAAGAATGTAAGTCTTGTATTAGAAATTTATATCAATTAAGATATGTTATATTCGACAAATCGATCGATATGGCATCTCAGGAAGTCCTGGGACATGACACAGTTGCCATATGAAAATATAGTTTACCATCAAGACTGATTAATCATGGCTAATTAAAATATGATTACAATTTCTGGATATCCCTTTTTGAAGTACTTCAATGTATTATTTATTATTAAAAGATTGTATTATGTTACAATGATTAATACAGAAGAAAAAAGAAACGACGATATCTGTGCACAAATTACCTCCAGCTAATAATGCTACGAGAATAATGCCACAAGACCACACATCAGCAGGCTCAGCATAATATGGTCGATTAAGCACTTCTGGAGCGACATATGGTAGCGTTCCACACCTTTTCTCTAAGCAACGCTCTTTTCCTTGCAAGCGATATACTGTAGCCATTCCAAAATCTGAGACTTTTAAATTATCGCTTTCATCAAGAAGTAAATTTTCTGGTTTAAGGTCTCTGTGTGCCACACCACGACTGTGTAAATATTCCACAGCAGATATTAATTGTTTAAAATATTTCTGTGCTTCCCAAATTGGCATTCCTATATCAGGTTCTATGAAAACAAAAACAAAATTAGGATATTGTATACCCCATTCAGTACATTAAATCAGATTAGTATAAGTAGCTGAAAATGATATGTGAAATTACAAAAATTACCTATTCTATCAAATAGTTCACCGCCAGAAGCATACTCTAAAAATATATATTCCATATTTGGTTCACTACGTTGACCAAAGTACTGTATTATATGAGAGTTTGATAACATCCTATGTATGGTAGTTTCTTTGCGAACACTTTGACGTGCATCAGGATGTTTCTCCAAGTCTATCATCTTCATTGCCACAGCTTCCCCAGTGACTTTGTTCACAACCAGTTTTACTCTGCAAGTATTAATGTGAAATAATTGAAAATCAGGCTAAAGTGCAGAATATGACTCCTTCTTGAAGTTTGCTGTGGATTGCTTAGTTTTTTTTTACACAAAACTTTTCAAGGAGTCGTATTCTGCAGTTTTACCAGAAATGATAAAACAATGTGCAATATCAGCCAGTTACAAAAAAAATATATCTTACTGTTATATGTTAAATATGTGGCAGCAATACAAAAGCGGCAAAATGATTTTATATATGAAATATATTTCATAATCATACAACCTTTTCACTCCTTAGACATATAATAAGTAAAATGATTTTGAATACAAATATTGATATTCCGTGCATTAAGTATAAGGCATTAAAAAAATCTGCATACTATCGATAATATGTAAATATTGATAGTATAATCTACTATAATATTAACATGTATATTATGTCAAAGATAATAAATACTACTTTTATAATTACTAGCTCTCAACTTTTGTATTGCACGAAAAATTATACTGTACCAGATTCAATATACTCCAATATATATCAAACTGAGCAAATGTAGAAAAAATAGGTATTATATTTCCGTAATTTTTTATAAGTAGCACATTTATCCATTATGAAATATCAAAAGCATCATAATTTTAAATATCACGGTCCTTATAATCCGTACTTAAGCAAATAATTAATAATCTCTAATATAATGAAAGAGCCAAATGACCGTTGAATACATCAAAGAGGATTAGAGCGCAGAATAATATAAAGATAAGTGGATCGAAGCAATATAAGATAATCTTAAATATCAGGATGTTAAAATAGAAATTATTTTATCTATAAGGTAATAAAAGATAAAAATACTCACTCTCCATAGGCACCTTCTCCTAAAGTATGTCCAAGAATCCAACCATCCACGAACTCCGTCATCGTGCTGTACCGTACTACTCTTTCTCACGGAAAAAGAATCAATATTGTTCGCATTCGAAGACCTGTTCCGAGAAACGTCCTAAACCACAGGAAGGTTTCATATATGCGAATGGGAGTAACGACGGGTTTCTCTATTTAAAAAATATGTATTTGGTCTATAAACGATGTTCTTTATTGTTTCTTCTATTGAACGATCCTGCAGGCACTGTCGATTGTCAGAATTTCGAAAACACGTGGTTTCAATGATGCAACGAAACTATACGTTATCGCGATCTTTCGTTACTGTACGTAAAAAAAAATTCATTTTACATGTTTCCCGGCCACAAAGCTCTGACTTAGGACAACACTCCAATTATTATTCCACTTTATTGTCTTGAAATAAGGGAAAACAAATGGAAAACGGCTAATCCATTGCTCCCTTATGCCGCAGAGAAGGTAGAAGAGAAACTATAGTGGTCTTTCTCCCAGTACTGGTACCTTTTACAGCGCCTTAAGTGGTGAAACGGTGAACTTTTTCGTATGTAATATGAGTGATGCTCGTTTCCTCGGACGTTAATCGACATTAAACTTTGGTTAATTATTTTAAAACTATATTTAAAAAATTAAACCAGCCTTAAACCACGTCGGAGGACACGGGAGTGAGTAGAATATTATTTTAATAGGCTATTGCTAATTTTCTTCGAAGAGGTTCAATGCATGAACACCGTTTATCTTCAAAATGTAAGTATCTGATTGGCTAATAGGCAGGTAAACCAGAGATGAGTAGGGAGATTGCCAATGGGCCGATATTCTTCAAACCAGAGATGAGTCGGGAGATGCACAACGCTCCGGTTTTAGGCAATACCAAAAGCATGGCGCTAAATCGTAGCGGCGAGCCCGGGAGTAGGATTTCGTGATCATCGCCTCTGTCGATGTTACAGATTTCGCGTAGCCGCGCGGGTCATGATCATCGTTCCAGCCGATATTGCAGTCAGGGATTATGAATGGATTGCTCGGTGGTGGGGAAAAAGTTGCCGCCCCTCACAAACCGTTCTTGACAAACAGGCGGGGCAGCAAGGTCTTCCATCCAACCGAACCCTAAACATTTGTATGGACGTAAGGCGCAAGCAAATGTGTATATTCAAATAAATTTCAAAGTTATAAAAAATGCATAGAAATATTGATTTTCACTCTTTACCTCTTATTATGCCGAAAATGAACATTAAAAAATGAATGGCGAAATTCGTTGGTAAATGAAACGACCGAGAACAGTTCAAAGAGAAATTTTGAAATATCATAGATAAATATCTATAATAAATTTAATTTAGTATTAAACGACCATCGTAGCTGAGTCAATAACCTGTCAAGGGGCCTCTCTTTTAACCTTTCTAGGTTGCCCAAAGTTTATTTTATTCTCTTTTGTTCGTCCACGTGGAGAAGGGTGGCGCGAAAGTGCTTAACTGGAATGCATCTTCATATTATTCTGCCTATATGTAAAGCAAGCGAAATGACAATAGTAAGCAGTTGAATAAACGATCAAATTCTAGAAATACAACTTCCGAAAAAGTAAAACAAACAAATGTTTCTGGCGTCTGGCTAGTGCACCTGTTTACGAATCGGGAGGGTCTATGGTTCAAGACCTCTCTATGGAGAGCATTTTTTTTACAAAAAAAAAATGTGCTTTTGCAAATGGGATTAACAGATTAAAGAGTATATCCAATTAATTTATTTATCATATTACAATAAAGGCATAACAACGACGACCTGCGGGCTTCCACATCACCCAAGAGGTGCCGCAGTCGATGCGTTCCAATTATTTAACGTAGCGGGTTCCCAGTAGGCCTATACTACGATCGGCGATATCAACATTACACAAACGATCCATGTTGCTAACTATCGCGCGACGAGCAACACACATTGGGGCCTGCAGCGTCAGAACGTTCACAGTAGTTCTTCAATAGTTATAAGGAAACAAGACGCAACACGTCTCATGTTTATTTTATTACTATGAAGGATATTGCGAGAGAGAATATTGTGAGTTAATAGAAAATGATTTTCAATCCCGATGACAACCTTTTTTTAAAAATGTTTTATATAAGCTTAAAATAAAGTTTGGGCAACCGAGAAAATTTGAAAGAGAGGAACCTTGAAAAATAGTATAGGCCGATCGTAGTATAGGCCTATTGAGGACCCGCTACGTTAAATAATGGGAACGCATCGACTGCGGCACCTCTTGGGTGATGTGGAAGCCCGCAGGTCGTCGTTGTTATGCCTTTATTGTAATATGATAAATAAATTAATTGGATATACTCTTTAATCTGTTAATCCCATTTGCAAAAGCACATTTTTTTTTTGTAAAAGAAATGCTCTCCATAGAGGGGTCTTGAACCATAGACCCTCCCGATTCGTAAACGGGTGCACTAGCCAGACGCCAGAAACATTTGTTTGTTTTACTTTTTCGGAAGTTGTATTTCTACAATTTGATCGTTTATTCAACTGCTTACTATTGTCATTTCGCTTGCTTTACATATAGGCAGAATAATATGAAGATGCATTCCAGTTAAGAACTTTCGCGCCACCCTTCTCCACGTGGACGAACAAAAGAGAATAAAATAAACTTTGGGCAACCTAGAAAGGTTAAAAGAGAGGCCCCTTGACAGGTTATTGACTCAGCTACGATGGTCGTTTAATACTAAATTAAATTTATTATAGATATTTATCTATGATATTTCAAAATTTCTCTTTGAACTGTTCTCGGTCGTTTCATTTACCAACGAATTTCGCCATTTATTTTTTAATGTTCATTTTCGGCATAATAAGAGGTAAAGAGTGAAAACCAATATTTCTATGCATTTTTTATAACTTTGAAATTTATTTGAATATACACATTTGTTTGCGCCTTACGTCCATACAAATGTTTAGGGTTCGGTTGGATGGAAGACCTTGCTGCCCCGCCTGTTTGTCAAGAACGGTTTGTGAGGGGCGGCAACTTTTTCCCCACCACCGAGCAATCCATTCATAATCCCTGACTGCAATATCGGCTGGAACGATGATCATGACCCGCGCGGCTACGCGAAATCTGTAACATCGACAGAGGCGATGATCACGAAATCCTACTCCCAGACTCGCCGCTACGATTTAGCGCCATGCTTTTGGTATCGCCTAAAACCGGAGCGTTGTGCATCTCCCCACTCATCTCTGTTCAAACCAATTTTATTTTCGAGTAAACACGCCACCTGAGCGGAGGGCCGTCGAACCATACCCACGTTTTTGATTGGTCGAGTATATATAGACATACTACGCGTGATATTCGTGAGCTATGAGAGACGCATGAATTATAACGGGTGGCACTGTAAAGCGTGTATTTTCTATTGTCGACGCGTCACCTGGACGGAGAAGCTTCGAACCATACCCACGTTTTTGATTGGTCAAGGGTATGTATCAGAGTACTATAAGCAAACTCCAAACGTGTATAACAACTGAAATACAGTTTTCCCAATCTATACGTCACGGTAGCTAAATATCATACGTGCATGGTAACGAGTCAACGTGCGAGAGTCTCGGGTTCGAGACCCGATTATTATTCCTTTTTTTAATCATGAACAATGCTCATTGAATCTATTAATTAACTTGGGATGTAGCAAATGCATGATTATATTATACTATACAAACTTTATTATATTATACAGTCGTGTCTATTTTTATGCCGTTGATACGTTCCACAGAAAACAGCATATAAAAAATATAAGTAAAGTAGAAGGAGGAACTCGGAATTTTCATGAACCTTCAAAACCGCATTAAAAAGCCACCTACAAATAGATTTTACCCATTGAAATGCTATATGTAGTATAACGGGGTGTCCGGCTCGTCCCCGCTATAATTAATTTTTTTATCTATAAAGCCGCCACGGAGCACCAGAGGGCTAGGAATTTCCGAAAAATTAGGAGTTCTGTTTGGGATTCGAACACGATATCTTCGGACTGCCAAGTCGAGCACTTACCACTGCGCTATTGAACCCACTGTCCGACCTGATAAGTCCTATTTATTTATTTTTCGGTCATTCCTAGGTGGTATCCCCTCCAGCTCTGTAACGCCACGTTACAGTAGATATACATATATTCCTCATATAAAGATCGCGAGGCACAGAATACATAGGTATGTCCAGTCTATTAACATATAGTGTGGACTACGCGTTCCCTACCTTAGATCCTCTGAAAAAGTGTGCGCTCAAATAAACAAAGAGGAAATGAGGTGGCGGCCAATCGTTCTCCTTTTCTAATGTTCTCATTGCCTATGTTTTCTATTCTCTCGTACTACGGCTGCTGGTCAGAAGAAGATAGGGCTTGGCCGCCACCAGTCCCTATCTTTTTCTTTCAGCCCACCATTTTTCCTATGTCTATACGTAGTCCATACTATATGTCAATGGACCAGTCTATTTGTACTCACAAAGGGAGGAAACGGTATGGGAAATGAAGTTCCGAATGAGACTTCGTAGTGATGAAACCTTATATCATGCTCAAGTTCTACAGACCAATAGGCAGCCAATTCTGATAGAGCCCTAAAGTTTGTTTAGGAACTTATATATTTAAAGGTGTAACTTAACTACACGTGGTTTGGCGGGCGAAGCGGTAGCATGTCAACTTGGTAAGCCAAGGATTCCATGCTCGAATTTCTGTACTCGTGAATTTTTATTTCACGAATTTTTTTCCATTTTATTTCTGAATTTGTTTAATATTATAATAATAATCATGCAAATATGTGTTGTCATTACAATTTTATTATTTTTGCTTCTTGTAAATAATAAAAATCAGGTTGTGAAAATACAAATATTCCTATACACAATATTTTATATATTATACTCCATATAAATATTTTACAGCGGTAGTTATTGGGAATAGGTTATAAAAATTTTATTACTTTCGTTATAACTCGTACGATTATGATAGTATCGTAATTAATAGCAATAATAATAAAATTGTAATGACAATACATATTTGCGTGATTATTATTACAATATTAAACAAATTTAGAAATAAAATGCAAAATAATTCATGAAAAAAAAAGTTTACAAGCAGAGACTCGAGCACGAAAACTTAAAAAGTCACAAGGCTGCATGTTCAATTTTTTTTACATCCAATTTTTTTTAATTGTTATGAGTAGTTATTGAACTTTATAAATAAATTTTACAAAAATTATCAAAAAATAAGTAATTTAAATAATTTTTTCAATGTAAAATTCCTTTCATTCTTGAAATGGACTTTGTTGTTGAAAACGATGTGCTATTGAAAACTAATATCAGAAGACATTAAACAATTTATGATTATTAGTAAAACTAAGACTTCTTTAAAAATGTTGATAAATGTGAAAAAAATGGAATGTTACATTGAAAAAATTACTTAAATTACTTATTTTTTGATAATTTTTGTAAAATTTATTTATAAAGTTCAATAACTACTCATAACAATTAAAAAAAATTGGATGTAAAATAAATTGAACATGCAGCCATGTGACTTTTTAAGTTTTCGTGTTCGAGTCTCTGCTTGTAAACTTTTTTTTTCATGAATTTTTTTGCATTTTATTTCTAAATTTGTTTAATATTGTAATAATAATCACGCAAATATGTATTGTCATTACAATTTTATTATTTTTGCAATTAATTACGATACTATCATAATCGTAACAGTTATAACGAAAGTAATAAAATTTTGAAAACTTGTTCGCAATAACTATCGCTGTAAAATATTTATATAGAATATAATATATAAAATATTGTGTATAGGGGAATAATGCAGTCAAGAAAACTAGGTATAGGAATTGTATTTGTATTTACATATTATCACAACCTGATTTTTATTATTTACAAAAAGCAAAAATAATAAAATTGTAATGACAACACATATTTGCATGATTATTATTATAATATTAAACAAATTCAGAAATAAAATGGAAAAAAATTCGTGAAATAAAAATTCACGAGTACAGAAATTCGAGCATGGAATCCTTGGCTTACCAAGTTGACATGCTACCGCTTCGCCCGCCAAACCACGTGTAGTTAAGTTACACCTTTAAATATATAAGTTCCTAAACAAACTTTAGGGCTCTATCAGAATTGGCTGCCTATTGGTCTGTAGAACTTGAGCATGATATAAGGTTTCATCACTACGAAGTCTCATTCGGAACTTCATTTCCCATACCGTTTCCTCCCTTTCCTTGGCTTATCAAGTTGACACGCTACCACTTCGCCCACCACAGAGATGAGTAGGGAGATTGCCAATGAGCCTGTTTTTGGTGGTCTCAATTTTTCTCTGGTTTCGGCGCGCTACCTTAGCGGAGGGCCCACGAAGCAGTTCCACGTTTTTGATTGGTCGAATGAATTCGTGTGTTCCTCGAGATCC